GGGCATTTTAAGTGAATGGAAACATCAACGCAACAATTCTCAGGCTGGATTTCTCTGTGTCTGTGAAATCTAACGTTCAATCTTGTCTCTTTGGACAAACAACAAAGACCTTTTCACGTTGTCTGATCGTTCTGTTCTTTGTGGACAATTTCAATTATTTTTTAACAAAAGGTATTCAATTAAAGGCAGGAATGAAGCGACAAAACTTGAATTTGTCAAAGTCAGGGTTATTTTGTCTGCACAAATATATATTTATTTGACCTATGAAAAGGCTTTCAAAAAACCAGGGAATTAAATTCAGGTGTGTAACAAATTGACACGGCATTTAAAAAAGAAAAAAGAAAAAATTCAATTAAGTTTTTCTGAGAAGAACCTTGATGTGACAAAGAGCGCTGTCTAAATAATGGCAGAAATGATGGACTGATAAATTGAGCGTCAGGTCTGTTTAAAGGATCTTTGTTAATTGCTGCCCTGGTTGAATGAAAGTAAAGGTGATTGGTCAAATGGAATGGGACAAAAATGTGAATAAAATGTGGACAGGACGATACAAGGTAATTTGATAAACAAGTTGGATGGTTGACAGTAGTCCTTTTAAGGTACCCATTATTTCTCAGTTAACTCCAAATGCACCAATGGTGTTTTTAGAGTTGGATTAATAAAGTTATAGAATAGTCATTATTGTCATTATGTTCGGTTAAAAATACTTACTTGTCTATTTAGAGGTTAAGGAGATTTTCCATCCCAGAATCTTCTGCAGGTGTGAGGAAAAGCAATCAAATTAGACAGATAGGGTCAAATTCTGCACGTATGCTGATGATATACTTCTGCTACGTTGACGAGAGATTTGAGACATGTGAACCACCCCTGTTAGCCAACCACTTTTTGAAAAAAAAAAAAAGAAGTGAACAGCCTTCAGGCTCCCTTAGTCTTTCCTGCCGTCTACTGTTTTTTTAAAGTGAGATCCAGAAGATTGTCCCCGACAAGGAGGCCTGACAAGGATTAGAGCTTATCCTCTCTTAGAAAATAGTGATAATGCTGGCTAAATTATATCTCTGAAACAGGTCAGCATCACTTGGCAGGCTGCTGAAGTTGCTGCAAATGAGCAGGTATGACGGCACCACCTTAGATAGGGATGTTCAGGGTGGATTCCATTATTTCAATTTTTACCTCTTAGACCTGGGCTCCATGCCCAAAAGAGGGGTTTTCTCCAGGGACTGTCGTTTACCTCCGTAGTCCAAAAAATCACACAGAATAAGGATTCTTTATCAGTCTTTGTTTGGAGATATGATGTCACGAATTCGATTGTAAATGGTTGCCTGGTGACAAATGAGGATAAGCTCTAATCTTTGTCAGACATTGCCAGGGATGAGGTCACTCATCTTCAGCATCTTTCTGTGAAAACAGCAGACGACAGGAAAGGCTCTGAGAGTGTGAAGGATGTCGACTGAATATTCTTAAACGGTGGTTTGAGAACCATCGTCTATTTTTTTTTTTGTGTGCAACAGCCATAACACTGAGCTGACCTTGTTCTTCTGTCACAACACAGTGATAAAGGGCAGGGCTGAAGGTCACGGCATTTCCTGCGTTGTGTCTCAAATCTCTCTTCACCATAGCAGTACATCATCAGCATAAGTGCTGACTTTGACCCGCTCTGTCCGATCATCGCCTGTTTTATTTTCATCACGCTTCGGAAGATCCTGAGATTTAAAATCCACTCCACTGCGTCACATAGACAAGTACCAAACATGACTTCAATTGAGACGTGAACTAGAGGGCGCTGTTCCATCAGTTTGTCATCGAAAACATTATGTCAAGTTTGCTGCACAGCAAAATCTCTCAATTTGAATTGTATTATTAGCAGATTCATTTATGTCAGGGATTTAAACAATCACATTAACGTAGCAAGATACAACCCGCGGTCATGAGTGTGACGAAGTCTGTTCAGGTAAATAACTTGAATGAGAAGCAGGACGCTCATTTAAACCAAACTGGAACTGTTAAAGAAACAATACAGGGGGCAAAAGGTGAGAGAGGATTGAGCTCCTAAAACCACTGTCTCTCTTAAACCACTTTAATCCTCATCACTTCCTCTCTTTATCTCATTCTCTCATTGATTTTTCCAGACGTGTGCTCATTCCTCTCATCCCTCTGTGCCCTGTTGTTTTCTTCCTCTGTCTGAATCTCTTCTCATCTCCTCTCCTGCCGCTGCGTCTTTCACGTCTCTCCGTCTTTGACAGAGACAGATACTCTGCCACCTCGGGACACAACCGCAGCCCACTGCAGACACGATGCTAAATTTCACAACAGGTTTCAGGGCTGCTTGGGAAAACACCAGTAACTGCTAACTGCACATGCCGCCGACGTAACCGAAAGATGCTGAGACCTTGTCTAGTGGATAATGTAAGACGTCTTTGAAACAAATTGATATGATTTCATTCAAATACTGGCAAATACGTTTAAAGACCGCAAAAAGATTCCCACGTTTTAGGTTTTTACGTTACATAAAATATGAAAAACCTTTAAGTTGCACTTGTGATGGGAGCTTAGGGAAAACAGAAAAGTTGAGAAATGTTAGGTTATCATAGAAATCCCTTAATGTTAGACTTAAATTCAGCCAAACGGAGAGATTTGCCAAAGTATGGGTAAGATATATGGAAGGCCAGACAATTTGATAAATCCTAAAATGTACACGGCAGACAAAAAAAACCCTGATAAAACAGCATGTATGTACTTTTACTGCAAAAAATATTGCTGTTAATTTTGTTGGGCAAAAAAATAGAATTGCCATATACATGAATTAAAAATGAGTCACAAGAGAGAAAAATTAATAACTTTAGCTGGAAAAAATAGAAAAAATGCTAACACTGCAAAATACCAAAAAAGCGAAAATATAAAGTTTGTTCAAACCCAACAACAACAACAATGCAGGTTAGCCATGAAGGCTAAAACATATTAGGTAGCTAAAAGTACAATTTAAATGTTGAAAGCTAGAATTTGGAGGAGGCGGGAAGGAGGTGGGCTTAGACTAGCAAGGAAAGCGCTAAAAGTTATATCAAACACAATAGCTACATTTGATGAGAGAGTGAATGAATGAGTGAGTGAGTGAGTGAGTGAGTGAATAAGTAAACGACCGAATGAGTGGGTGGGTAGGTGGGTGGGTGAGTGAGTGGGTGAGTGCAGAGCTTTGTTAAGGCCTGGAGGAGACTTCTCCAGCTGCTAACTCAGCACAAACCCTCCCTTTCTTCCGTTCCGAGTCTTTGTGAAGAGACTGATCAAAGACAGCAGTGCACTCAGAGGATTCACCCAGCTTCTGATCGGATAAACACGGACACTGTATTATGTTCCCAGCGGGAGAAAGTAAAGGTTGTGTAAGACGGGGGGGGGATCGCCTCCAGCCTACGTGTGAGGGATTGAGAGCCATGAAAACATACAACAGGAGAAGGAGCCGAGCTGTAACCTGCATGTTCATATTTTACAGTTCTTTACCTATAATAAAGGAGGAGGATGGGGGGCTGAATGATGAAGCATCGGAGCGCGTTAATGATGTGCAGCTTTGATCAGTTATAGGAGGCCGGGCCTAAGTGAGCACTGCTGCCGGTTTTTCAGATGAGAACCCCAGCATCAAAGGCTTCTCTCTGCTCATCGCCGCCTCTTCTGACGTCTCTGTATAACCCAAGGCGTCCTTGGCCCACCTCTGCCCCGTGCACACCCCTCCAAAATTTAAAAAAAAAAAAAAAGGAAAAGAAAAGAATCTGTCAAAAGCTCCTAAACTCTTCAACTCTGCGCCTCCTCCGCAGTAACATCACTGACAGAGGGAAAGGAAGTTCAAGTTCCCATCTTAGAGCAAACCCAACGTCAAAACCAGCTGCAGCGCAACTTCTACATGACCTGATTGATTTAAGAAAGCCGAGCTAGGATTTCACAAGTTCACTTTTCAAAATCTAATCTAATATTTATCTTTTATTTGTTATTGAAGGGCAATGTACATTAATGAACATTTAAAGATAAAATTGAAATGCATCCAATTGTAGCTAAAAGGTTAATTCCCAATACGAGATATTATGATTTCTGATGGGCCTGAAATTTGTCAAAGTGTCAAATTGAGATTTTGGTCGACCTTTTTAAAATGATATTTGAAAGTGAGATTACTGTCTAGCATAAGGCCTAGATATTTGTATTTATTTACATTTATTTGGATTTTCTGGCCAGAAATAAAAACGTCAGGTTCTGTGTTTGATTTCTTAGTTTTCACTGTAAGCTGTGCAGCAGCCTCTGAGTAGTACTCGTTACCTTATGCCTCGTATTTCCGAACTACAAGTCGCTCTGGAGTATAAGTCGCATCAACCAGCTAGAGTGCCCTCTAGCGGCTGTCAGTGTGAAAATAACAAACATGTACATTTTCAGTGGTACAGGAGTAGCAGATACTGGTACACAAGCCTAGAGTGCCCTCTAGCGGCCGTCAGTGAAAATAACGAACATGTGAAATTATATATTTTAAGATATAAGTCGCAACTTTTTACTATAAGTGTGACTTATAGTAAATACGGTAATTTCTTGTGTTTGTTGACAGACAAGTGCTATACCAAAGTAGAGTTATTTTTATGCGCCTTATAGAACTCGCAAGGTAAACGAACAAATTCAACCTAATTTAGAAAAACACGTCATCAATTCAAAAGGAACATTTTTTTGTGTGATCATAATGATCCAAACTGCTTCTGGCTGTTCTCACTCCCTGACTTTCTGCCTCATTTAAACAGCCAATCAAACGGGGCTGCAAAGGTTTCTTCCCAGCAAACCTGGATTTACTTTCAGATTTGGGGAAATTCCTTAATGAGTCACTTCTTCAGGGCCTTTTAATCCTATTTTAAGCCGGTGTAAATCAAGCCTCTAACCATGTGCCAGGCTTCCACACTCAGGTTATTTCTGCAAGTGTATGTGTGAAGGCGTGTGTTTGTTGCACTGTGTGATAACAACGTTGATGTGTGCTTTCTGACGCTTACCTCATTCTCCACTTCCCGAATCTGCAGCTGGGAAGCGTGAGCGAAGGTACTCTCTGGAGCGGTAGTCGGCCTGTGGAGGAAAACAAAAGAGGCGGAGGAAGAGTGGAGAACAGGCGAGAGAAGGAAGACGACAAAAAAAAAAAAAAAAAACACCGAGTTGTGGTTTAACAAGTTGTC